GCTCTTATTAGGCTGACAGGAGAGATGGGAAGCTACTCAAAATCTTGATCCAAAATCAAGAAACATTAAACACTGAAACAGCTGGATGAGGCACAAAACCCCAGATATTGCCCCACATCTAAAAGACTCCTGTTAATTCTCAGATGTTAGACATTTATGTACTACCTATCTGATGAGAGTCTTATCTCAAGCTACTTTCCCTTGACACATTAGTACCTCCCCCATGTTCTACAAGCCTGCTTCTTCCAGCTCATCAGCTCAGTAGCTCTTTTTTCATTCATGGGTTGGGAGTCCTATTAACCAACCCATTTCACCTGCTCAGACATGACAACCCTCACTCACAATTCAAGTTCACCGCTGTAATGTTTCAAGGTTTTACACAGAGACTCACAGGCTCAACAGGGAGATATTAGATCATCCTTCATAGTTAAAATATTCAAGTAGAATATGTACATAGAATTAAAGGTGCTTAAGGTAGCTATGAGACTTACACACAGCTCTCAGCTAGATGATGCACTTAGTTGTGGGAAAATCTATCCAGATATAACATAGAAAGATGAGGCACCTCCTCAATTGTTTAAATGAATGAAAATCTTATACCTTTTTTAAGGATATTAAAACTAAGTAAGGAAAATCAAATCTATTCTGAAATATAGGGCTTCATCACTTCATCTGGGTAGACAGTACCTACAGGCTGGGCATGAGAGGTAACGCAGATGTTTTAGGTCGCCAGCCTCATCACAGACCATTTGCGCTTCTTGAAAAGTGTAATAAGGCTTTTTTTTTCCTGGTTTGCACTGAATCACAGAGCTGTCCTGACAGCTTGAACCTGTTGCATCATGCTGCTACTGTAGCCACAACTTTTCCCAGTTACTCCCACTTCTGATATACCCCTCAGCACTTGTATTTAAGTTGTAGACACAGATGAATAGTTTAAATCAAGAAATGTAGTTCTACAAAGACACAGAAAGCCTGCTATGTACTTATTGCATGCCTTTCCCAAATCTACCAGATGGGTTCTTTTCCTGAACACTTCTCTCCCCTGCGTCCCCATCCCCAGTTTTATGCCACAGTTCTCCTTTCAGAGTGGGATGCCTATACAAAAATAACTCTCTGGGAACACAGAGTGAAAAGTACTACCCCAAAGCAAAGCAGTTCCTCTTAGACACTGAGGTGTGGCAGCAACTGCTGGCACAGATACCCCTGCGAGATCCCAGTACTTTCTCCTGACAACATTGCCTGCATCAGCATTTCACTCCACCTCCTGTGAGGCCCAGCAGAGGACCCAGAGGAATGCAGGACAAGCATGGACCTCTTTGGGCACTGCTATTTTCCCTTCCCTTGAGGAACATGCTCTCTTCACCTTCCGCATCTTCCTAGTCACCTGTGCCCCTGCTGAGCCACCGGCCTGGCCAGGCCTTGTGTCACATATCCTGTCTTTGTGAGGGAATTATCTCCCAGATCAAGACCTACAATGTTTTCCCTGCTTGTAAACTTCCCTGAGATCTGGGAAAATACCTGAGACTTAAAGCACCATGTTAATTATTCCTTCAGTCTGGCATACTTTGGATATGATTTCAAGTTCTTGGTTTAATTTTACATATGTAAGCCACATCTGGGTTATTTTCTGGTATAGATCTACCTACAGTTATGCTGGCAAGGAGCGTGGCACACCAATCGTACCTTGAATACAAGTCAGGGACCCCAAATGAACACAAAACCTGACAGTTAAACAGGACACTCCTCCTGTTCTGCATATTTTCAAGGTTACTCTCCCACATCATATACAGAGAGTTTATACAATTCCCTTCTGGTCTTTTAGTGTGCAGAGGAGAAGAGAATGGGACCTTATTCTAAACCTAAATATTGAAGGACAGATGCTTTCCTAATTTATCTAGAGGGTTTGTGCCAAAAATCCGAAAGTTTGAGCTTGGTAAATCGCTGCCCCAATTAAAATAGAAAGGCTGTTTCCAGTACTCTGCTCTTTAAGAGGTCTCAAGTACCACATCCTATTTATCTTCCTGCACAGCGCCAGTGTAGGAAGTTCCACATAAATCAATCAGTTGTAAAAATATCATGCATTTCCACACAGTTAACATAAACAAGGCAGTGCAGATTCCCTGAGTTTTTCAAGTGTTCTGAATACATTTTTAGAGAGACATTCTGATGTATTTTAGCACTCTAGCACCCAGGGTGACTCTATCAAAAATTAAAAAGGCTCTAGCTATACCAAATTTGTTGCTCTATGTAAACACAAACAGTAGTTAATTAAGTCACCTTTGACAATTTAATTACCCTTCCAATCATTCTTGAGCGTATTCAAAACTTTGAGTGGAGCAAGTTCACTATTGAAAATGAGACTCACACGGATATAAGAAAATTAATTACTTAAAATCAATATGTTGCAATTTTCAAGGGCTGTGCCATTAATTTTTCTGAAATACGTAGGTCCTGAAAATCCATGACAGTATTTATGAACTTGTTCAGGAATTTTGTGCCAAAATTGTGGTGTTTTCTCCCCATAATTTCTCTGTTAAAAGGTTTTGGTTATCCAGTGAGAGAACAGAAGCAATGTGACCATATGCCAGGGGTGAATTACAAATAGCAATTGTAGCATACAGTTTGTGAACCACATCTCCTATAAAAGTTCTTCACTCAAACCATTTGGTGAACACTTATGCATGATAAATACATGCAGAGATCTCAGGGATGATTCACTTCTGACATGTGAATAAAGAAACAAGACTAAATTAATCTTGTTCCAGATTCACTTAATGAAATTAAACCCCGCCAAAGTACTTCAGTTTGATTTATAAAGCTTTTAGAGTATAATGTTTTGGGAGACAGTTACCTGAGATATTACCCTTTTCCTCCTTACAGTGCCACAGAGGAGGTAGATACTGTGTGGCTTCCTGGAACAGACTGACACTACAGCTCTTAATTTTACTAAAGGCATTTTCATGGACAGGTCCAGTAAAGGAGCATGCACTTCCCCGGATGGTCTTGTAGAGTTTGATGCCTGTTTACTTAACCTGACTTAACCATTACATCAGAACAGAGGACAAGAATTGAAATTTGTTTCTTCTGGAGTCTTTTTTACATTTTTTTTAATATATGGAAGTCTTTCAAAATTATATATCTGAATCCTGTCATGGGGAAAGACAACTCAATGCCCTTGATAAATTAATATACAATTAAATGCATACACAAATATTGCAGACTGATAATGGCAAAGACTTACATTTGGGCATCCTTAACGATGCAACAGGCTCATGTCTCAATTGCAATAAAAGTTGACAATAGATGAAACTACAGTGTAGTTCTTCTCACTGAAGATACACTAGTCTTTCAAGCTATTCACAATAAACAAATTTCTTATCTGACCCAAAATCATGGGATTCTTACAGTAGTAAATATTATACTTGGCACACATTTGTGGGATGGTAACTTGAAGTACTGTATTTATAGCTGGCAACATTCCTTATAGCTGTATATTTTTCTAAGACATTTGTGACCTATACCTCTGAGCAGCCTATTGAGGTAAAACAAAATTAAAAGAGAAAGGTCAATGGAAAATATCACTTTTCTAACGCTTTCTGAAAGAGAAGACGAAGTATCAAAATGGCTGAGGTGCCAGATGAAAATTAATGTAGAGAGTTTGCATTAGTTCACCCTGAAATAACACTCCAAGCCTTACAAAAGCACACACAGATGAAAGATGTCTTCATATGTCTGTCTTAAGGTCAATACCTCTGGGAACAAATTATGAGAAATTTTGCCAAGAGCTTATCCCACAACAAACCATGTGAAATAGCCTATAAATAAAATATCTGTGAAGGGATTCACAGATACAGAGAGAAGATTGCTATATTGGTGAAAAAAACAGTAATGGAAAAACAGCTGTTTCTTAAAATTGAATCAGAAACCTGGAGCTTCCCCATGTTCTGGTGACCTCTGATGAAAAACAGCTCACATAACTGCAGGCTGTTTTTAAGATGAAGAACTGTGTTCAGGGTGATAGGTCACCTCAGGGCCCTGTCCACAGCTCCCTGCACAGCTCCATCCCACTGGGACCTGGGGGAGAGATGCCTTGGATGCCCTGCAGTCTGGCCAGGGGTGTGTGATGGGCCCTAGCTGGGCACCCCTGCTCTGCCCCCTTGGGCAGCCCCTGGTGCTTCAGCAACTGGAAGCAGCTGGGCAGGGGGTCAGGATTAACATCTGATCAACAACCACAGCCCCACACATGGACAGTTGGTCACCCAAATTCAGCCAACACCATGCATTTTAAGCATCTTGGGAAAGTGCAGCAAATGTTTCATTAGATCACCATAAGGCAGTAAAGGGTTATATTTGTGTCACTAATCACAAAAATTATTTATAGCTATTTTAAGACTGGACTGATGCAATTAAAATTTTAGAAATAGTATTTTCTCTTTACTCAGCCAGTTTATGCAGGTATGGAAGGTGCCCCCTCACCACTTTCCTTATTGTACCTAGTGGTTTTCCAGCCCGTTGAATTTAGGACATTTACAAGTTTCTATACCATTAAACCATTAGGTATTACTTAGTCTGCGGCAATAAACTATAAGGCACCTTCATTTATATGCTAAAATACAGCAATCCATCTAGCCAAGTTGTGGCAATACCTTTTAAGTCTTCTTTAACACTTCGTCCATTTAATAGCAATTAATTAATACAGAGCTATTAGAAAAATTGTGAAACCATTATAGAAATAGCAATTTCTCTTCTTGTACCAGTGAGAGAATCTCTAGTGAAGTCAGTGGATGTGGCCCTTGTTACACAGCAAATGTGATTTCTAAACAACATGTTTCATGCACTAATGAAAGACCTCTGAAATCAATTTGAGAGTGAGGGTGTCAGTACTAATTTAGTTGGAAAAAAAAAATGCCCACGAATTTCATGCCATGTGATTAAACCCAAATAACTCACATTTTCAGAGATGCATGTTCACTTTTACCTGTTTGGTTTTTTTTACTTACTGCTTTATATGTTCTCTTCTGTCCAGCATGTTTTCTGATTTGTTCTCCATTGGGCCCAGTTTCAACATGCATGGAATAGATAATGTCAAAGAAATCTTCTACGACGGCCACCCGCCGTAGAGACAGCTTCTCATCTACTCCTACTCCATCCTGAAAAGAAAAAGAAAGAGAACAGAAAAAGTAAGGGAGACAAGATGAATAGATAAATTATGATAATCATGAGACACATTGTCCTTTTTAAAAGGAAGTTAAAGACCCATTAATATCTGAAGATCACCCATCCTGCAAATAACAGACAAAGTATTGTAGGAAAGCTGTATGATCAGAAGGGTCACATAGACCCTTGCAAGCATCCCATTTTTCCAAACCAGGGCATTTGGCCTCTTGAGAGGAAGTGATCTTTCACTCCAGTATTTAAAAAAACAAAACAAAAAGTATCTGTGCTTCTTTCTCCAAATGCACAAACACAATTCAAAGGCAGGAGCAGTCCCAAACACATGGCACAAAAATGCATTATGTGTTTGTTAGTAAGGCTGTAACAACCCTTTTATTCTCTCATTCTCTTCCCAGCAAATCTGTGCCTAACATTTCATAAAGGTGTTTAATAAAAGGTTTTAATTCAAAGAGATGACTGTAAGTATGAATACAAAAGAAGTTGTTATAAACAATTTGCCCCTGTGAAAATTGCTTGAAGACATACTATATGAAGACATACTACAATATGAGAAAAAGGAAGGGATGTTTTAAATATTTTCTACTTTTGCACACAGATGTCCAGTGGGAAGAACTGGACAAGTGAGAACACCTAGCATCTGATTTTCAAAAGTGATAATGCCACGGCAGCTAAAGACTTCTGAAAAGAAGCAGCCCCCAACGTCTCTGAAATTAACCAATGTGGTTCAGCTCCTGCCTTTTTAACAGAACCATCCACATGAGGTTTTGTTTGTTTTACAGCTGCCTATGGACTCAACTCTAATGAAGGAGCAGGAACTGGGACATTTGTTTTTCCAGAACAGACATCTATCAAGCAGGCTGCAGTTTGCAACACAACACCAGTATATGAAGAATAAAATAAGAATGGCCAATTCACTTGTACTACAACACTGTATTCATATTTAGACCTTTGGAGGCAGCAGTATAACCTAACATTCATTGTGCATTTTAAGCAATAACAGTGTTCCAAACTGAGTATACTTTATAATACCATTACTGCTCGTTTAATTCATGCCACAAAACAACTGACTTACATGGGCACTTCTATGTCAAAACACATGCAATTATGGCTGCAGTGACCAAATAAACACAAAGATGAGAAATTAAAAGGTAGTTATTATGTATGACACTCCCACTTCCTTCCCCTGATCCTAACTTCTTGCCAACCCACTCCACTAAGTTTGCTGTATGTGGACAAACATGATTCATTTTTCTCACTCCCCCTATTTTTATTCCAGCCCACTTCAGTTTTTCATATATTTCAAAGAAAGAACCCAAATAATCCCAACAGCAACAAAGAACCCCGCAGGGTGACATAGAGGAACTATGACACGTTCTTAGTAGCAATGGAGAAAAAGTCAATGCCTTTAGAGCATAACCTTCTAAATGTGCATTATTCCAAGTGATAGTGGGTTAGGAGGTGTTGATACACTACCAGCCAGACAGGTTACGTCCTGTCCTGCTCTAATCTGCCCAGCCTTCTTCAATCTCCCTACCCAAAGCTACGTGGTCTCTTCCATTGTGTCCTTTATCCGTAGGAGACAGCTGGACTTGGGCAGAACCCTGGCACATGTGCCATGAGAGGACTGCCACAGTTCTGATGGAAATGACTGTGTTGTCTTCAAGGTGGAAGAACATGAGGAATTTGCAGGGCAATCCCCACCACAGGTTAAAGCCTCAGATCCACTGGGAACAGTTGCTCTGAGAAAGCTGCAAAGCTCCCAGCCCATGATCAGTCACTGACCACCAGCTCAAAACTTTTGTGGTATTGTGACAGGTTTTTGTTTAAGCATCATTATGAATTTGCTTGGTACTATCCACCACCATTGCCTACTATTTTTTTTAAAATTGCTTTAGAGGTAGGCCTGGCATCAAATTCAAATCTTTGCAGCTTTAATCTTTAGGGGAATTCACATGTGAGCACTGTAGGGGGGCCCATCTTCAATCATTACTTTCTCACCACCCAAACAGCACAGTGGGATCCCTGATGATTTCAAACACTCTCGCTATGACGACAGTGTTATCTCACACTGCTTTCCAAATACTCAGAAGTTTATAGTGTTGATTAACTGACAAAGATTTAATCTGTTTATTACTAATGAGTTTTGTTTTATGAAATTTCCTATGAGGGAGATCTCTTTTTTAATTAGAAAGAAATGCATTACACCAATATTAATTTAAAACCTGAGATGCCACCTCAGCAGAGCTGACACATGCAAACATTATGAATACATTTAAAGAAGAAACTCAGAAATGAAACTCATTTTTCTGCTTTTGGTGGTAATAGTGTGCAGTGCTCTCTCTCTAATGGCCTCCTACCTCTCTCCTCAGACATGGACACCCAAAGTTGGGAGGTATGATCTGGGGGTGATCCTGAAGGGTTATTTCTCCATGTAGCTAACTCAATCAATAGGTGTTGTTAGAACTTCTAAAAACACACATAAGTAAAGTCTGCACAAATTATCATGACTTTTAATTGAAGTGCTAGAAAATTAATACAAACTTTCCAAATATTTTCAGTCAAAAAGGGTAAGAAAGAAATGGTTTAAACAAAGTAGAAACTGCCTCAGAGGAAGGCAGGGCTATAATTCAATATCCACATCTAATTTTATCTATATATAACTTTATCTAGTGGAGATTGGACATAACTAAGTTGGCTTCATCCTGCTTGGTGCTAAGACAATGAGGTAGACCTTGATTCAGAAAACCTGCAGTGCTGCAGAAGGTGCCAAGGTGCTGAGTGAACTGTTCAGTTCATCCAGCAACACACAATGCTGGGCAGGGCTGTAAGCCTCAACTGCAGAAGTAATACACCACAAGAGTAATTTGAATAAGGTAGCTACTTACTGACACTTTTCATATTCCATGCTGACATCCCAATAGGTAAAAAGCTGGGCAAATGATAAAACCTCAAATCTCCATTTAAACCATGAAGTCTCTGAAGTGGACATGGTTGTATCAGGCTTTCCTGCCATATGCCATTACACTACACTTTTATCCCAAAATTGTTATTTTATAAAGGCATTAACAAAGCAGCTCTGCTTTATAAGCTGGCTTTGGATAAAAATTTTCACAGTGCCTAAGGGGACAGTTTTTTAGCCTCAACTAAGGCTAAAAGAACCTGAATGAGAGAATGCATTGTAATGCTATTCCCATGACTGAAAGGCTATGAATTGTCCACAAGGGACAGGACAAGTAATAGGCTTAAACCACAGCACAGGAGATTTACATCAGACATTTGGAAAAACTTACTATTGATGTGGATAGTCCAGTACAGTAATAGTTTGCCTGGGGAGGCTGTGGGATGTGTGTCACAGGAGGATTTTGAGACCAGGTTAGGCAAATATTTGTCAGGGATAGTATGAGCAAATCCTGTCTTGGGTAGACTAGATATTAATTGAGTTTCCTCTTGATAGCTCTAGGAAACTTAAATACCACTTTTAAAGTGACATGGGCAGTAACAACTCTGGAATAGAAAGGAGGATATTTATAAATCACTGAGGTATTTTTAGGACTTTTATTCAGCATGGAAAAAGTCCAAGCCTCACTTTCAAAAATTACTTAAGAGGGAAGCCTCACGGAATTCTTCAATTCAAGCATTGGACTTAGACTTTCAAACCTTTCAGGCCATTTCATCCCTCTCTTTTCAGCCATCACTGAAGTGTGTTGTGCCATGGCCTAAACCAGTTGTCTCAGATGCCTCTCTGGCCAGCAGTGTGACAGACTCTGACAGACTACATTCATCCTTATAGCTGATGGGATAGTTTCAATCTCTATCAGTGAGATGTTACTTCATTTTATTCTTTGCATTACAGTTTTTCCTGTTTACTTTTGGGTTTATGTATATCCAGAGATATTCCAATGCTCTTCGGATACAAATAAAGAAATGTTTCTTTTCATTTTCATCACTACAAAATCCATTTGTATTCTGAGATTAGTTTCCTTTTTTTGTTTTTTAGAAATCTAGACAAAGAATAAATTTCTGAACAGAAGTGAATTTTACAGAGTTGTGTACCACCCAGAAAGTGCTAAGGATCCCTTTGAACCAGGATGGTTTGGGAGACAGGCAGTCTCTTTTATTGAGGATGAATCTACAGGGCTTTTCAGAGTAAAGAAAGGAAGAAAGTTTGCTAGTAAACTGAATAGATAAAACTCTTAAGGCAGCAAAAATACCTATTAAATAAAAGGTTGTAGTTTTTATAGTTACTTTGCAGAGAAGAAAAAATTTAATACAAGCCTTTAAAATTAATGCCACTGAAACAAAAGTGCTTGTAATTGCTTGCTTGAGAATAGCTGCCCCATCTCCTGTTGAAATTTCTAGGAGGAAATAGGTTTCATAAAACACCCTCTTGCTTTGTGAATGAATGTAACTATCAGCATCTTGACAGTGTTTGAAAAATATTCCTATAAAGACTTGATAGACAGAAATAGAAAATAAAAGGAAAGTCTTGGTTGGTAGTTTTATAGAAAATGTTCAGGTCTATAAAAACCTCTGTTGTAAAAGCATCAAAGCCAGAAGCACCTACAAAACATTAGAAGTAGATGCAAATAACAATGCACCTAAATATTTCATTACATAATATAAATCACATATAAATCTAAGACTGCTTTGAATGGAGAAATATGATGTGTAACATTTTTCTCATATAATCTGTTCAGACAGCAGCAGAGTTAAAGCTCATTTATGTCCCCACACCTCTGCTGACTTGTACCACATTTCGAATTTCCCCTGGATGAGAAGAAAAGTCTTTTGCTGACTGAAACACTGTACCCTGAATGAACAAAAAGTTTTGTTCATAGCCCTATGCATTGTTAGTTCATTCATAATGAGCTCCTGACATGATTGTATGTAGATTTTTTACTTCCCCTGGGTTCAAGATAGGAAAATTTTGTATGGAAAGTGTTAGGAGGAAGCAATGGTGGTTGACGTATAACAT